CGAAAAATACGCATTTGGCTTCCTTCAGTTTGAGTCCAGTGCCTTGGAGACGTTACAAGACCGTCATAACTGAAGTCATGTTCGTGGTCAGTGCAACCAGAAATTATAATACCATCTACATAAGTGAGTACACCGGATATTACTTTCACCAAATTGTTAATAATACTCTGAAATATTGCCGGTGCAGAATGTATTCCAAATGGAATTCTGCTGTAGGATAACAGACCTATGTGCGTTTTGGTGGTTGTTATCTCTCTGGCGTATGTATGCAGCTCTGCTTGCGAGGAAGAGTGACTTAAATCAAGTTTGGAACACTTCCGGCCACCTGACAGACTTTCGTATAGGTCATCTGTCCGTGGAATATGTTAGTGTTCTGATTTCACCACTTGGTTAACAGTCGATTTGTTGTCACCACAGATACGGACGGTACCATCGGGTTTTTTTAGTGGAACCATTAGTGTAGTCCGAAATGAGTGGGTTACTGACGATAACATTTCACTTTTATGAAGGCGCTTCAGCTCTAACTCACCTTTAGGACTAATAACACAAGGCAACCTCCTTAGCTTAAAAAATTTCGGCTGAGCGTTCAGCTTAATATTAAAAGAAGCTTTAAAATTACGTAGTTTACCGCGCGATGTTTCATCAAAAGCAAACCAATGAAGGAATGTATGAAATATGGTCCAATAGTTTGACAGTTTGAAGTACTTTCGGCGTAGGTTTGAGCCAGTTGCTACCAAGTACCTTCGGGTAATCATTATTAACAACAATTAAGCGAATGTTAAAAGTATCGGCCCCACCAGTAACCCTTACTTCACACATCCACAATATATCGAACGATTCAGCAGTATAAGAAACTAAAGTAGAGTGGGTAGGAACAAGCGGCTGATCGGGCAGTGTACGATTGTTAACTTACGTACTTGCGGCCATCATGTCTATTTCTAGGCCTACGGGTGGGCCATCCTTCTTCATTTCGACAGTGTATGGTGGTATTCCGTGCACACGCAGTGTGGTAGCATGTGAAATGAAGTAAGATATGGACTCATCAGGATTAACTACTGTCCGAACAGTATTTGATGGAGATTAAGATACACGATGTGGAGGCACTGTTGAGCGGCGGACGCACGCAAGCGTTTCGAACCTACGGCACTTGTGGCAAGTGGTTTGTTTGTATCTACAATCAGTTACTACTTCAGATCTTACGCCACACTTATAGCATATGGAGGGGCGTTAGTTATTCGATGACAATGGAGATTTGGTTGCGTGTAGTACATCTGAAGCGTTGTCATGTTGGTGTAAATTAATTATTAAACGAGATTTTCTCTTGCTGCACTAATGTGCATATGGCTCCCCAGGGAAGCTTGCTCTCGTCGTCCGGCAGTAAAAGTTTTCGGGCCCTGATGTAGCAATACCCACCAGAGGATGTTAGATAGCTATAGCCTGTTCAAACTTCGTGGACAGTATTTCACTATAGCGACAATCTGGCTCGGACTGTATTATGCGGGTTATAAATTCGGTGGTCTCCTTCTTCCTGCCGTAGCTAAGCAAAATTTAGTCGGACGATAAAAGCATGTTGTTGTAAATCCCTAAGCCCATCCAGAGGTTTCATAAGTACAACAGGTAAGTGTTTTCATATAACCTCAGCATACTGAAATGTCTCTGACATTATACACCCAAGTGTTGTCTCAAAATTTTAACAGACTAAAGCTCAGCAATAGCAAAGTGAATATTTGTAATTCTGAAAAATTCAAGATAGTCACAGAATGTTCCGTTCCATCGATTCCAAACTGCAAGGGATAACTTGGACGTCGCTTCTTCCAAAGCGCATCAGTTGGCACAAGGTGATCCGTAGAGAATAAATCGAAGCGAAGGCTCCGTCAACGATGTTAAAGGCTACACGTGCGGGACTAACGCAAGTCTGCGAAAGCAGAAGTGGCTCGTAGCCGAACGACGCAAGGGCAACAGAAACCACCGAGCTAGCAGACGCACCATATGTTCCGATAAGAACGCGTGCAGGGCGTGGATCAAGTGACTGAAGCCAAGCCATTGGTAAGTGGGTAATCGATGGGCAGACATACACGCGCACATGTAACGACAATGTGATAGTTTGTGCGCCTGTTAGCAACCGAATTCCGACGCTTATGCACGTCTGCCGTGACTCATGCGTGCCGCCTGGTCGCGAGGCTAACATGTGAATGTCTGGCTCCACATTACCCCACAATGTCCGATATTCATTTCACCAATCAAGCCGTGCCATATTATCAAGTACCAACTCACCAGCCTGTGACTGACGTACTGTATGTGCATGTGACCGACGTGCAAATGGCTGAAGTGAGTACGCTGCGAAACTGTTAATTTAGTAATTAATTGCTTTCTACCTCCCGTACGTGTTGCATCTGAATTCCCCAATACCTGATGGTGTTTACAATTCCTCGTATTCTCCTATTTGCGGATAATCGTCAGCTGCGCGGTATCAGTACAATACACTTAGAATACTAACGAGAGCCAATGCTGGGTGTGAAAATCCGCCTTGCGGAAGTGAATCAGACGCCACAAAGAAGACGGACGTACTGCGCTTGTGTACTGACCCGAAACCGTTGAACGAGGTCCTGCGTAGAAAGCATTATGCGCTCCAGATCCTAGAAGACATTTCGCTGCGTTTGGCCAAGCCAACTATCCTACGAAGATACAACTGTCTTCCGCATTCTAGTACGTGGTTCTGGATGAAGAATGCAGTTCCCTTACTACCTTTGCCATACCGTTAGTACAATATCCTTGGCTGAGTTTACCCTTGGGTCTGATTTGTGGCGAAATTTTTCAAAAATTATTGGTGTAAGAGGTAGACTACTTAGATGGGTAACATGTGTAGCAGGCAAACTTTCAAGCGACTGCTCGATGGAAGCAGAGTATGACATTAATTTCCACCGGTTCTTGCAGTGTTGTGTGTAAAACGATACTAAGCATAGACGTGAGAAGACTTAGTCTCCGAAAGATGAGGTGCTTTTCTATGGACATATTCCAACAATCAAGGTCGATCCAGACGAAATTAAGGCAATACGAATACTTCCGTTCCGTAAGGAAGTGAAGGAAATCCCTTGTTTAAACGGCATGGTGATGATCTACCCAAATGACCTAGGGTGCTCAAGTTCTAAAAATGGACAAATTTGAAGGCTGAAATGTGGTCAGTTGCCTGTAGCAAAAGAGCATGACGTTAAAGGTAATACATTCCAAAGGAGTTGGGATACCTGCTGAAGGCTCCTCTCCATACTCTACTGTTAAGAAGTAGGCAGCAAATATCAGGACGCATATAGAGAGCATTGAGCATGTCCTGTGGCATGGCCGCCAAAAATCTTATGCATGCGATGATCATGTGGAAGCCATTCGCCGAATGAACTTGGGTGGCAGTAGTTTGTCTATTCCTCAGTTAGCTAGGAGTATGGTCATCAGTTAAGGCTCAGTGTAGACTGTTTTATCAAACACCTTGTGGATTAGAAAGCTGACTGCAAGATCAGTGCTAAGAATCATGACATCGAATAAGAAAATGAACCGGATGGAAAATTCAAGGCAAACTTTGACCATTGCTAAAACAAATCAATCCAATTTTTTGAAATATTTGTTACTCAAGATGGTAATTAGGTTCATCACTTTGAAACAGTATCAAAGATTGGAAGTAACTAATGGAAAGATCGTCTATTTCCTCTCCAAACGTAGTTCCGTCTAGTAGCTTCCGTGGGAAAGTTGATGGTCTTTATCTTTTCGGACATTGAAGATGCATTAATGAAAGAATTTTTGCTGATGCGTCAGACTATCACAGACGAGTGCTAAGCTGTAGTATTACGCCAACTGAAACAGTTAAGGAAAAAAACCCATATGGAAACTCGCAGTAGTTCTTTTTTGCAGGATAACGAATCTGTGCACACTAAGAGTGGCATGTCAGAAGCCGTCATCTGCGGCTTCGAATTTCTGACGCACACCGCTTATCCACCAGACCTGGACCAGTCGGGCTTTTTGTCCCCTAAAAAGAAATCACACCTCCGAAGTAGATTTGTATTCTGGGTTTATTGTTGCCAGCACGATTTACAACTTACTCCCGCACAAGGATAGCAGTGCTTGAAAGCCGCCGAACTAAGTGCATCCAAATCATGAGATTATGTTGAAAATGACAAAGAATGACTTGGCTAGTTGGCTCTTTTCAGTGTCGGGCTGAGAAGTTTTCAACCCACGCTCCTAACGGCCAACGTTCTTAAGGCTGGCAAAGTTGTACTAGCGAATTAAATGTCTCCATGACACAAATATCCAGCTCACCATCCAAAAACCACAGAACAGCAAACAGGATAAGTAAGTCAAAGATTTCTGGAAAACTGTGTAATTGCAATCAGCACAATGAACGATTTTCATCTTGATAAACAAAACTTTATGGACACGAAGTCCGCACTCGAGCATACCGCAATATCCTCCAACCTTCATAGAAGCACCAATAAGATCAGCGTTCTGACTGGTGAACTGCTACTCACCAGCGTAAGGCGTATAACAATGTACTATTTGTTGTAAACACTGAGTTGTTCTTTTGAAGATCTATTTTGAACCTCCACCAAATGCTTTCGATTCAACTCAGGCCATGAAAACCCCAAACATTTCCGCTTCCTAACTACGTGATTAATACCAAGAAATACATCTTACAAATTGTTCCTGAATAGCTCTGACGATTCCCCCTAGCATTTTTACATAGCTGCGATTAAGCTCGAGTAAGGTAGCAAAATTCTTGTATTCCTTGGTCCCTCTGAAACACTTGTAGCTAGCAAAATACATGCGTCAAAATTAGCTATTCAGAAAAGTATGCGCATTACAGTTTAAGTCGCAATTTGTTGACGGTACCGGCGATACGCAAACAGCTGTTGCTACCACTAGTCGAAAGCGGATGATGTACTGTGGTTAATTTACTGCTCATATTTCCTTGGACATGTGAAAGGGTAAAATGCACTGCAACAAAAGCAGGAGCATATATTTCCTTGTATCAAAATTGCTAAATATAGTTATCGCTCTTGGCGATCAACCGCGAAGGAATCCATAGGCATTGAAAGCTTCGCTGCCATCTGTTGATGGGGGGGGGGGGTAAACGAACAAAAGAAAGTTCTATGATGCTGTCAAAAGTACAAGTGCATAACAGATTATACAAGGGCAATTGTTAACTAACCATTTGCGTAGGCCTTCTTAAAGGAATTGTGTTCTCCCGGCGTCTCCTGCAAGCAAGATTGACAGGCATTTCTGGTTGTTATAAGGAGAGTTCGGTTAGTTGAATTGTTTAGTAATCTCAACAAATCAGCTTTTAATTAAAATGTAAGCGTGTGCGGGATGAAATTATCCGTTCCATTGAAAGCACTCTGGTTGTGTTTTCAACGAATTCATGCTAACTGATTATACTTTTGGCAGTAAATTTCACCTGAAATACCATTGCATCACAGAGACACGGAATCACTAAACACTAATAATTTGGTAGGCAGTAAGTTTTCCGTTATCCGAGTTCATTTGTCTAGTTATGCATTAATCATACGCTTTTTGGAACGAGGCTGCCATTATAGGGCAGATTCATCTCCAGATTCGATCGCTTCATGGAACTAGAGAGACGAAGGTCGGTTAGTCAGCCAAGAAAGCATGGTGTACATTTGGGATGGATGGGGATTTAGTTACAGCATTGGTGGAGACGAAAAAATAGATCATCGCAACCGAATAATCTCCAAAGAAGTGGCTGGAAGACATGAACGAGAAATTCTCACTGACCAGCTAGACCGGATGACTCTGAGCAAGAAAATATGGAACAAGGAAAACACACCATGAGCTTTTGACGTTTCTTTGCAGCAGCTCCTAAGGCCGATCGTTTTCCACACACCCGTAAAAGCAATAGATGACGGTGTATTCTAGAAGGACTCGTCGGTTGTACATATATCCGGGCTGCGTCAGAAATCGAACTCGTTGTAGTGCAGTCTCTCTAGATATCCTGTGCGTATCATTATGCTTTAGGCAGTGTGAGAGCATTCGACATCCATCCGCAATCTACCTTGTCACTAGTGTTTGCGTAAAGTATTCCTTGCGTCTCCATTCCTTTCGACTTTTCGATCGATGTACCCGTTTAGGTGCTTTAGGAAGAAAATAAGTTTTTGAACTATGGCTCTTTCCAGGTAATCGTGCAACTGACTAATATTACGCTGATAATCTTTCCTTGCTCATCGAATACTCTAGGGGTATGCGATTATTAATTGCCGAGCCCAGGTGTGTTTCGTATTTCGTCCCTGAAAGTGCAAAGCGCTCTTCTGGATTAAAAGACACCCCATCTGCTGTTCACTATCTTAAACTTGTAGCTTGAATATTAGACTGCCTCGTCTGCCTAGTTGGTTGGGCTTCTAACGACTGCACAACTTGAGAGGAGATGTTCCTTCATATATATAGAGCGTAGTCGGCCTATCTGTCGTATCGTCAACACGTTCGCTCTCGTTAAATGGAGAAGTTTCCAATGTCTGTGTTCACGCAATACAGTTGGATAGATGCCCAACCTGACTGATCCGTATAAGTGATACCAGCTGGCATTAGAAATACGATAGTTGATTTTTGCGGAAACCACTGGTGTGTGCGGACGACACTGAGCGCAATGACGAAATCACGTACAGTATCTTGGGCACGACAGGTGAAACACTTCGTGAGCTTGTTCCGCTGTGCCAATTCAGATGGTTTAGCCAAGTCATACACTGCTTATCACATAAGGAAGCAGTGGGAAAGCCACCTAAAGGTAAGCCAGTCACATGACGACTAATCACGAAATACCTACCTACATCATCCGGTTTCTGAACCCCAGCATGTAAAGGACCCACAACACACAAAAAGCAAGACAAAACCGGTCGCAGTGGAAATGTAGTGTTTAATTTAGCAAATGCTAACAATTTCATATGCATCCAGTTACGAAACAACCGATAAAAGCGAAAACGATTGCAAGATAGCCGGAATATTATAGCTTACTTGGTTTTGCTACTGTTTTTAAGTTTTGCCAAGCTAGTTAACCTCAGATCCTCATTTTCATGGTTCTGAGTAGCCCGATATCTACACTTTTGACTGAGGTGCATTTATACGTGGATATATATTTATACATACACGATTCACTAAGCTTCCCGAGCCAGGATCACTTTAAGTCTAAACTTGTCCGTAGGCACAGAACAGACGATTAGGTAGACTTACGTGTCTAAGGAGGTACACACGCTTTCTCCATTTGGAAAGCGAATCGGCATGTGGTTGGTAGGCGTCCGCACGCTCCTGTTCCTGGTCGCTGAAAGCACCGGCGTACCAGCTACCGATGGATTCGGTCTCGGTGGATTTGGGAACGCTGTATCTTGAAATAAACGCCGAGTGCACGTAGACCACGTGGACAAACAGGTAATAAATTGCAAAGGAAACAATGCTACCGTTGAGTAGTTTTCGTTGAGTTGACATGATTCACTCAGTTTCTGGGGATTGTGTCAATGTCTGAGATAAGTGAGTAAAAGGAGGAAATTGTTGCTTACCTGTAACTAATACAACAAACCAAGTGACATATCTAACGCGAGTACGTATTCAAACTATTTATAGGTTTGTGTCGTTAGCGCGCAATTCGCCAAAATAACACGGGTAAAACTGGGACAATAAGGTTACCATTTTGAGGACGTCCTTTAGCACTTCGCAGTACTGGTAGCTCATGTCAACGATTTAGTGGCTCATTTGTCTTGCGAACTAGGCAGTTTGGTTGCAAACGTTTCACCACCTTTCGAGGTGACATCGTCAGTGCAGTGTGATGCGGCATGTATCGACAACCTTACGCGCCGTATCACACTGCACTAACGATGTCACCTCGCATGCTGGTGAAACGTTTGCAACCAAACTGCCAAGCTCCTAGAACAAATGACCCACTGAATGCTTTAGCATTCTTAACCGCACCTCCATGCAGCGATAGTAAGTAGTGCTAGATGATACGTTATTCCTGCTTCCATTTACTCCAAGCCAAGTATGTTTCGTAGATCTGGAATGAATACGCTGCTTTATGCACTATTAGAAAGATGCCTTAAAGCGCCAATATCCTGCAGTATGTAGGCCATGTTCACTAGCTGGTTGATACTGGTTTTCCTGTCGGTCCACCAGATTCCACAGCGTATTTGATTAGTGTTGACAGGGAAATGTTTGATGGAAGATAATGCACAGAGGTTTTCTGCATTAAAGTATACCAAATAAGAGGAACAATCTACATAACCTTTCTGATCTCAGTTACGCATACTGATATACTGAATCGGTATTCAGAGAGCAAAAGAATAAACATTTGTGTTGCGCTATCGTGGATGGATCGGAGGGAATCACGTCGCTGATTCCTGCGCGGTAGCAGCATACTGCAGCTGCATTACATCTTATCCGAGCGCCATTCGCTCCCCATAGCTGTAGTCCGTAAAGTGGACGTAAAGGAATCGCTTAAATTCCGACATTGATTTTGCCTCAACGAGCGTCTCCCGCAAATTGTTTCAGTATTTTATCACTGGAAGCCCAAAACATGGTGGGTGAGCGATGCGCTTTAAATCCGGTACCAGTAGTTTGTACCAGTGTCCGCGTGTGCTGGTTGGTGCGCAAACGTGCAGCAGCGGCCTCAACAAAGGGAAGTGGCCCAGGTGCATTATCCGGTGCGTCATAATGAGATCAACCCGAAATCGACGATGTAACAGGGTATAAAGCCCTAGACTCTTTTCTCGATCCTCCTATTGTACCCCGTAAACTGGGGATGAACCGGGTACCTACATGCTGGACTCGTGGCAGTCTCTGCACCTCACCTATTGTGATCAGACAATAGGTAGGTGAGCAGTACTCAAGCACTGGTCTTACCGTGGAAGAGAAGAGACGGGTGGCAATCTCTTCAGACCAAATGCAGAAGCTGCGTCTAAGTGCCCAAAGCAGGCGCAGTCCGTTTACTTACAGTCTGTTCGTGTTGTCGACGGACTTCAGATCACAACTTGAGAGTATGTTTAGATCCTTTACAAAACTGGCGGGATGCAGGGCGTTGCCGGTCAGGGTGTAGGCACGCTCATTACCACCCCTCCTCAGGCTCATAATCGAGGATTTTTCCGGGTGGACCTACCGGTCAACTTCTGCAAACCACCGGGATAGGCGGTCGAGTTCCTGCTGAAGGACGTCACAGTTGTCGGGAGAATCAATAACCCTCCAAATCTTCCATTCGTCTGCAAACATTGCACAAGCAGACCGATGAAGCTGAGGCACTTTGTTTATGTGCATCAGGAAGAATCTGAGCCCCAGCACTGGGCCTTGGGGTACTCCGCTAGGGGACGAGTACCATTCCGTTAGGTGGTCATCCACCTGAACCCGCCATCTTCTCAAAATAAGGAAGTAACTGATCCACTGGCGCAGGACGCCAACAATACCACACATCTTCTTCTTGTGGAGCAAGACCTCATGGTTCACTTTATCGAAAGGTTTACTGCAATCAATGTAGATAACATCCACTGACTTCCCCCGGTTCAATGTTTGCAACCATTCCTGCCGCATCAACAGCAGGTTGGTGATGCCCGAGCGTCCTTCCATGAAGTCGTGCTGTGCCGGCCTTAGGATATCTTTCGACTCCAGCAGCTAGCGAAGACCCTTTTTCGCCATCTTCTCGAGCACTTTCGCCAAAAGAGAGCTGAGACAAATCTGCCGATAATTATCCACATTGCCTGCGTCCCCGCCTTTTGGAATTGTCTTTATTACCGAGTATTTCCAATCACTGGGTAATACACCCTCGGACAGCCATCTGTTGAACAGATCCGTTACGGCAGGCAAGATGATGATTGATGAGAACGGTAAAATAAGCTGGTGAAGTACATCGGGTCCGGCAGTTTCGTGCCGTCAAGACTGGCGAGTAGACTGCGGACATCTTCTACATCGCAATCCAGGTCATCGAGATCAGTAGGGGCTACACACGTTGATCTCGGCATACGTGGACGTGTCTATTTGTAAATACGGAAGCTCAGTGCTCTGCCAATGCGGACGCACGTGCAGTGCTGGAGGTCAGAGGCTGTCCGTCAGTACCCTCTAACACAGCCTTGTCACTTGCGGGCATCAGGCGTCGCTTCACGTAAGCAAAGTCTTTTTGTGGGCCATCTTCGCCGAGGTTGCAAGCTCCGCTTCGAACTGCCGATGTGTTCGCACTATTTCGCTGTTGCATAGATTCCGCTGCAGTCATTATCGCCTTCATCGCACTGTATGCACAAGCTGTGGTTAATGGCTTCTTTGAGCTAACTTAGTAAGAGATTTTATCTATTTACCTTTTTATTACTTCCGTTTTTAATTCCTTTAATTTGTTCATTAATAGAGATGCACACATTTCGTCATTCCTTCGACTGACATCAACGTTATCAAATTAGGAAGGCATTAATGAGCAATAAGAGATCACAAATGGTATTAAAAAACAAAGATCTAAATTAAGCTTACTTATTCCGAAGTTTCTACCGAAAATGACTCCGAAGCCATAGTCTTCCCTTTTATGTGATGGAACGCTGCAACGCTCCGGGGATATTTTGTGAATTTGTTCTTCACTGCGCTTTTCAACGATAGTTCGGGCTGTCGATAGTGCTTACTGATCGAGTATAGCCGACCGATTGATAGTTCAGGTATATTACATACAGATGTTAATTTATCCACTTTCATAGTACTTGAGTTTAAATATTATGGACAGTTCGATTCGTTCAGTTATGGATTGCCTTTCCTCTGAACCGATGAATGCATTGGTTGCGTAGTTTTTAGTTTCCGGATTCTGCGCTAAGTACGGTTGTGTTGGCCGCGTAATTCGTGTTCACCAGCTAATGGGTTAACGACTGCGAGTGGAACAGAAGCAAGATACTTCGTATCCAGAAGCTGCGCTTTTAATATGCTATTGAGCTAGGTCAATGCAGCAGATGGTCTCGAAGACACACCGCTCTTCAATTCGACAAGAATACAGCAAATGTTCGGCTAGTAATTTAATAAGAATCGAACAAGTAAGGTGCATGCTGGATGCAGATAACAAGGAGTAAGAGTTAAAATCAACGTCAAGTGGAAACTGTGATCCGCTTAGAGAAGCAGCGACTCGACACTACCTACAAGACCATCAGATTGGTGCATTAAAACAAAAGTAAAGAGTGAACTGACCCATACTAAAGCGTCGAGTTACTCTGAATCCCGAAGCACTGTTTGGAAAGTTGGTCGCCGACTTCCTTTTGAGTCGAAGACTGAAAACCACATTGAGGTTGCTGGTTCCTAAGTTCCCACAAAGCACTTTTAAGAGCCCCGTTATGAAAAAGCAGTAAAACCGACGACTTGGAGCAGTGTCCAAGCATTTTGAACCTAGGAACCCTATATTTGTCACGTTGTTTCAGAGATATAAAAGTAACTAGATACCCGGATTTGTTGTTCATCGCTGTAATGGGTGTATTATACCTGCGATGGTAAGCAACCATGATTCTAACATGTCATTCAGACAAAAGGTAGACAAAGTTGTAAAGAGAACTCTTTTTGGTAAATCGTATCAGGCAATTACAGTTACAAGGTAGATAGAGATAGTGATATGCTGTTGAAAGTCAGCATGGAAGGGGAGAAAAACGGTGGGAAATGGCTCAGTAGATTCGGTCGGTATGTAAAAGCATCGATTCTGGTGGGGGGGACTGTAACTTTGTTGGACACTGATCTGACCTGACTTGACCATAAAAGCTTAGTCTCCTATAGAACAATGTTGGATAAACCGAAGAAGTGAATTACATCCGGTCATCACCAGTGTTCCGTCTGAATGGGTTCTTTTCAGGGTCACGGTAGACTTAGAATTTGCACCAATAGCCTCTGCTTACAAAGCTCTGGTAGCGGCAGTATGATCGCCATCGCTTCAGCTTTCCTTAGAAGTCGTTTTCTAAGCCGCTTTGAGTGTCGCTTCAGCACGCTGTAAAAGACGTTGAAGTCATCATTGTTTGAGATCACATATCCATTTAGAATCAGATGTTCCATAATGGAACTGTTGATATTCTTGACGATGCCTCGTTCCAGTGACCCTGGGCAATGCCAAGGTACCCTCGTCGATAGACGTCTGGGTGAGATACTTATCACCACAGGTGCAAGTAAACTGATACAGAATATACACTTCTATTATGGAACATCTAGTTCTATGTAGATATGTGATCTCGACCAATAAAGACTTCAACATCTTTTACAACGTGCCGAAGCGACACTCAAAGGGGCTTAGAAAACAACTTAATGAACAATGATTTATCACGGGCAAAGGCATGTGATTGACAAGTCCAGTAGGATGGTTAGCGTAAAAATTGAAGGGATCAGCAAATAAGTAACTTGTTAGTTTACGCTTCTACCGATTTAACTTCACTACTTCAAAACCATAGTTTAAAGTGGGAATGGGATGTGCACACACAAAATAGTATAGAGAGCTGTTATAGTTAAGTAAATGCGTGCGAAATTAAAAGAAAACAACAGCG